ATATGAGAGCATGACTGTTACATCTCCAGGCTTCTGAAATACACTCCTCTCAGCAAATTCCTTTAATTCCTTTAAAGGAAGGGACAAAAAACTTGCCCTGATGCTGCAGGGGCCTCAGACCCCAATGCAAGGCTCCTGTTTCTTCTGCAGAAGGCATCCAGCCTCCCTGGGGATGGGAGAGCTCCCCACTCATGGCCATTGCACCCCGCATGCCCCCAACATCTTCACCTTGGGATGCTTTAAAGCCTTATCGCACTCTGAGAGCCCACGGTCTCCTTCTGACCTTGTTTGTCCCCACTCCTACACTCTTCCATACCACTCCCCTCCCTGCCCCAATATAGCACCCAATTTAAATCTAAGGCTTTTAAATCTGCCCCTGGACTCCCTCCAGCTGACATAAGTGACAATAACTCTCTTTTATCCTCCTGCTTCCTTTTCCAGGCCAGGTGGTCCACGGGGTCCCTGCAGGGCCCCCCCACCTGCGCTCCCAACCATTTCACACTGTTCCCCTGCACTCTCCAGCTAACTGGCTTCCAGCTGAAACCAGTCCGACTCAGCTAAGTAAAAAGATATTTATAAAGCTCTCCTCCTTGTCATGTTTCTGGGGATCCGGAGCAAGCAATTAGCTATCAATTAAAATAGCACAAAACCACAAAAGAGACAATAAAGGTGAAGAAGCCAAAACATCTGAGGCACTGCAAATATATAACACTTTTGAAATAATCATTTTTCAGTGGATGTCTGGAAGGGCAAGATGGGCATGGACATGATGGTTGGAGACAGCAGTTAGGACCCTGGACCAGGGGACAGTGATGGGGTCCATGGCCATGCATGGGTATCAAAAAGACTAATGACCCACCACTTCTCTAACTTTCAAACCTGTTTTGTACCTCTAGGCTGTGAGGTCCAGTATCCCCAGTGCCACTAGGTGCTGGCATCCACCTGAAGGTTGGGTTCATCCCGCATTTGCCAAGCAGCACAACTGCAACTCCCTGAAAATCCCAGTGCCAGTCAGCACAATGCTGGAAGCTCTGGTGAACTTCAAAGTAGGGGGTTGTCCTTGCTCTTCATCACCCATCTCCACCACCACTGTGGGATTACAGAGATGCTCTAGGCTTCTTGCAGGGGACAGTGGTCAGCAGCAACCTCCCAGCCCCAAAAACCAAAGGCATTTTGCATTCTGCTTTCTCTCTTCAAGGTGTCTCAAGACAAACAGCTTGAACCCCTCTAGAGGGGTTCAAGCAACCCTGCCACATTTGAGAGGGCACTCAAAAACATACACACAATGAGCAGGTTTATTCCAGCTACGAGACACAGTGCAGACCGCAAACACACTGTCAGCTGAGCCAGGCGGTGCCCTTAAATATCAGTGTAGGCAGAGCTTTGGTGGTGTTTGCTGTAATTGCAGCTACAGTCATTAATACCCACTTATAGCAGCAACAAGGAACTGTCACCAACCACATTCCCGTAGGGTACAGAGATCAGCTGTAAATGCCTGCTGTGTCAGAGCATGGATATGAGCCAGCAGCCACATCCACAGGCCACACTCTCCCCAAGTGCCTGCTTCTGCACTGGTCCTCCTGCATCCCCAGCAGCGCTGCCACACTATCCATCCCCAGAGCTGCTGTCCCCGTCTCGCTCTTCAAATCCCTGCAGAACCATTAGACCCGCTGCTCTCCACCAGGACCTTTCCCTCTCTGATGCCCATGCCCAGCACCATCATGCTCCTGCAACTCCAAACATCAGCAGCAACAGGGCCAGCACTGAAAAACACCCCGAGAGCAATGGGAGGCAGTGCAGAGAGGCGGTGGTCCCCGTCGTGGTGAACATGGAGGACCAAGATGGTTTGCACAGAAAAATAATTTGTTATTTTTGGCCCCAGCCTTGAAAAAGGCACTCTGAAAACGATACTGGCATGTGAGCCTTAGGGAATAAATATGAGCTTCATGATTAGGACTTGGAGCCTGCTACAACTACGGGATTTTCTTTGTTTTGGAAATACCATCCCCATCAGAAACTGCCATTGCTTATAGGAGGATGCTGCATCTAATTAATTTAAACCCCTTTATAATACCTGTCTCTGTGTGGGATGATGCCAGCAGCTTCCCACACAATTAGGTGCTGGATGAAAACTTTATATGATACATTATTTGTAGCACCAAGGTCTTCTCATACAAACAAGAGCTATAAAGCCATATAAACCGAGATGTTTACTGTACGCCTTGCCCTCTGATGACCCATTCACAACAAAACAGCTTCCCAAACCTGGAAATTCAGTTACGGCACTTCGAATTTCTACTGATTTTTTGGGGGCTGAGAGGATTGACAAGTGCATTCAGGCTAGTGCTTTTCTACCTTGAAGCAGTTGTTTTTTTAATGTATATATATTTAACAAAAATGTCACAGCACGGGAAGAGTGAACAGGTCAGGAAAGGGTGGGGGATGTCATTGCCTGTCTATTTATACACATTTGCTCTTTAAAGCAAGAACTTTTCACCAAGGGATGGGTGTCCTGACTCCCCACCATCCCAGACGGTACCTATCATCTGTCTGATGCCAACAAGCATGTTTTGACAGAGCTCAAACTGTTCCTTAACATGCTTGCACAGTGCCAGTGTTGGGCTGTGCTAAATCGAGGGCTGGTTCCCCTTGATTTAGCAAGAACCTGTTGACTTTTTAAAACAAAAGTGCTTCTTTTCACGTGCTGGTTTTCCCTTAGTGCAGCTGTATTTGCACCAGCCAGGGCAGGCAGGAGGTGGGGGTCTCTGGTGGGATCTCCTGCTCCTGCGGTCACTCTGCATGTGGTCCCACACAGAGTTGCCACACTGGGTGCTGCAGCACCACCTCTCCCTCCAAAATCACCTCTTAGGACCCTCCAGACAGGCTCAGTGGTGGGTGCCTGGCCACTCTGGGGAGCTCCAGGCTCCTTGCTCATTTTTGAAATTAAGACTTGAGCCCTCCAGCCAGCATCAGATGCTGGGCAATTCAAGCTGGAGCTGACGGGTGCAGGCAGCCGTCCAGGCACCTCCCAGTGCAGCCAGAGCTCCTGCCGCTGGCAAAGAGACACCTCCACGTCATCTGCCCTCGGCCAAATGCCCCCAGGAGGTCCCAGACACAGCCCCTGACCAAGTGCCCTTGGATGTGTGGGGTGCTGAGCACCCAGCCCAACTCCTGTGGCATGCACAGCCCGCATCCTGCGCCTACCTATGGGATGCAGAAATAGATTATCATTTTTGGGGGCTTTTTTTTTTTTTTTAAACCCTGGAGTTCTATAGCCTAAAAAAGGCATCAAGTTTGGCAATGTTTTTTCAGTTCCAGGGTATTTTTGCAAGCATATAGCTGAAGGGAGCTGTACATATTTCTAGGAAAGAGGATGAACTGCAAGAAGGGCTCTGTTTTTGGGTGACGTTACTCACCCCAAGCCACGGTCATTACTGGAGTAGCCTGGAGGGGGTTAGGGCCACCCTTTGCACCTCCACCAGAGGAGGGGTCAAAGTCACTGGTCCCCTCCAGAGGCATGTCAGAGTAGCCCAGAGGCAGCCCTAAATTACCCAGGGTAATCCCAAGCTTTTCCTCCTGGAGCTCACAGCCAAGAAGGGCCATCAAGTCACCTGCTGGAATAGTCCAGCCCAGGCAGTGGGGACCTTCAGGGATGTAGGACTGGAAGACATCATCTGGGATGATGCCTCCAGCCCTGGAAGTCCCCAGGAGGAGGAGCAGCCTGTTAGGAACAGCCCCATGGTACCCTACAGCATTCCCACGGCACCCTGACAGAACTGTTAGGGCCCCACGATTTGGTGAAACTTTTGCTGCCCAGAAACCAACCCCAAGCAAGCACAGCCCAAAGAGGAGCAGGCAGTACCATCCTTCTTGCAAGGCAAGGAAAGATGGGTGGCAAATAAAACCCAAACCCATCCTGGACCATGATGCCCTGCCCTTGGCTGCACACTCCTGAAAACACACTTAGCTGGCAAGTGCTGACAAACCCTTCCTCGCAGCAAACACGCGCTCATATTCAGCAACACTAGTGGGAAATCACACCCCAGCCCTGGGCATGACCGGCAGCACCAGCACAAGGGGGTGCTGCCAGCTAGTGGCCCCTGTCACGTACCCAAAGCTGCTCTGGCCGTTCCTACCAAAACTGTACCCGTCTGCTTCAGATGCCGATGCGTGCAGGTGCCAAGCAAGGCACGAAAATCCCCCCCACCCAGGGAAATCCTGGCCAAGGCAGGCAGGTGTCCCCGGGACAGGAATCAGCATGTGCAGCAGCCTTGGTGCCCATCGAAAAATAGGCCAAAATGTACTGCATGGGGAAAAAAAGACAGGGTGGGGGGTGGTGTAAAAGCACGATGGTTAGCAGGGTTTAAAACACGAGAGGTGGCCAGCATGGCTGGCGTTTTCTCACGCAGGCAGTGAGCTCAAGAGCCTGAAGCTTAGGCAGGGACTGGCTTTAAGATGACAGCTCTTGCCTTGCTAATAGGGGCAGGTGAGTAACTGGGCAGCCAACCCCAGAAAACCCACTTCAACCTGCCAAGATTTTGCTTCTGTCTCTCAAAATACCCTGCTCACCAAGGTTTTTAAAGCAAATCAGTGTTATTGTAGGGCAGTGGGTTTTTTTTCGCACCAGGTTGTGGTTAATTATTCCCTAAGAGCAGCACACTGTGTACCAGACGCCGTGGGTAAGCTCCACAGCTCACGGAGAGCTGCCCATGCCGCTTCCACGGGGTGTAACACCCACATGCCGTGCAGGGTACCACTCCGAAACCCACCGAGTCCCCCAGCCCTTCCCATGTGCCGAGCGGGATGGACCTCGGTGGTGTTATCCAGGACTGCTTGAGGAACTGACTTTCAAGTTCTGCATCTTAGCAAACACCCTTCATTTTACTCGTAGTTTGTATTGGGGATGCGGGGACCCGTGGGATGGGTTGGGGTCGCTCTCCACGCAAGCACCCTCCTCCTCCCTCCCCGGAGACACATCCCTGCCAGGCACTGCTCCTTACCTTGATGTTGCAGAAAATACTCCGGGAGCAGGTGCTGGACCTTTTGGGGATGTCAACTGAGGATTTGCCGGCTTCGGGGTGGACTCCCATCATGGGGGCTTCCCAGGGAGCCCCGAATACCTGGGCTGCACGTGGGCTCCCGTCCCTCTCTGGCCTGTCCTGCTGCTAGCAGCGTGCACTGTCCGTGCCGAAAACCCTCCACGCCCGCGAGTGAGGCAGGCAGTGTGAGCGCAAAGTTTTTATAAGTCTGCTCTCCAAAGCGATGATGAAACCCTTTCTCCTCCCTCTTTTGCTTTGTGCGCCGAGGGAACTTTAAAGTCGCAGGAAGCTCGCGCCAGCACACAGGGAGCAGGTGGGAGCGAGGGCTGGCCGAGCCTCTCCAGTTTGGGGATGGGGAACGTGGTGGTGCGAAGATGCTTGCCCACCTGTGGGGGACACCCAGTGCCCCGACCTGCCACTCGTCCCTGCAGCAGATCCCCTCTGCTGTGCTCACGTCTGAGGCTGCAGGATGCGGCTGGGGAAAGCCCC